TGGAAATAAAAGCTGTTCTTTGAATCTTTTAATTCTTTAAATCAGCTGTTCTGATTCTGAACAAAACTGTGGTGGAGAATACCCATCTTGATTTGGGTCAATTAAAAGCAGAACTCTGCATCCTTGGCTCATCTCGAGTCCTGTTGCTTTCAGAAAGATCCTGTTTGATTTGGTGGAAGAAAGTGTTGATGTGATTGGATATGTTTTATGAAAACAGCTTCCAGTACTCACTGCTTCTGATGAAAAGATGAAGGAATAGGTGGAAGAGGGGAAGAAAGGACCTTTATTATGCATATATACATAGGTACTACCCTGCCCAGTCTGAAAGCCCAACTGGCTTTCAGAGGTAGCAGATCTGTACGTCTGTGTGCATGCATGTGCATGTTTTATAAATGGTTTGATCTTACCTGAGCATCTGTGGCTCTGGTGATATCCCATTTGTTCACATTTCTGTAGGCTCCTCAGTAAACTCGCTGGATAGATGACAGTTCATTAAATTAGTTGACAACGCACATCCAGCCTTTCCACCCTCCCACCCCAGCCCTAAAATGAAAATAAAGAAATTACAATGGCAAGAAGGAAAAATACTATGCAAATAGTTCTGAAAGCAGTGACACATTTAAACTAATGCAGTTCCTAGAATCAGAACAATAAATGTGCTGTCAGGGGCATCACAGTTACTCCACTGACATGACCACCTTGCAATCGGACCAGTGTAAACTGTCACAGCTGGTTATCTAAGTAGTCCTGAAACATTTTTCTATCACTGTAACTTTTCAGAGTCATGTACTTTGAAAGAGCCCTTTTCCCCTTGCAACCCTTCAGGTGGCTTTTAGATACCTGTGTATATCAACTTGCAAAACAAGTGGCTCAGGAAGAGACTTTCCAGAGATGGCAGTTACTGCTATCAGTTGTTTTAGGAAATGTTCTTTGATGAAATGACTTGACAAAGTTTGCCCAACTTCCTGCATGGCAAACAGTTTTTCTTGAAATATAAAAATAGCAACCAGGCCAACTCCAAAGAACCCCTTTCAAAGGATTCAACCCTTTCAAGCAGTTGTTTCTTAAAGTTGCTACAAATAATAATTTACAAAATCCATTCCCCAAAGCTAAACTAATGAAACAGCACCACTATTAAAAACCCCCATGAAACAGCCTTTCCATCGTTTTCTTTAATGTGCAAACTTTCTCATTCAACTGGGAGTCTTAGAGCAGTCTATTCATCTTGACCATCGACTCTGTGCTCTGATGCAATGTATAGGCAGTATGGCTGAGACTTAAAAAGCCTTTACAACAACTCAGAAATGCCCCCCTCAAGCCCCTTCTTGGAATTAGTGGCTTTAGTTAATATTGGTTAACATTTATTTGGAACAGGCATGTTATTCTTCCATTAAGCTTTATTCTGGTCATTCTTCCAATTCCCATTTAAATTCTGTTTTCCTCTTGGTTGGCAGCCATACCCTTAGCTACCTCATAAACAAGATGCATTGCCAACTGGAACATGCGAGCAGAGCAGACAGCGGCACCACTAACCTCTGCTCCTTTCTACCCCCTGCAAGCTGGAGACATATCAAACTCAGTGCTTGGAGCCTGGGAAGTGGGAATCCTGAACTGCTCGGAAACTCAAAGAGCCAGACTTCAGGCTATGAAGCTACTGGGCTGGCTCACTGAGCTATAACTGTGCATACATTTTTTGTGGTTTTTTTTTTGTTGTTGTTGTTTTATCAGCCCAGCAAGCGAGATTTGCATGCTCTTCAGCTGAGTTCATCTTTTGCTGTAAAGAGATGTGCTGAGAACTGTGCAACTGATTAGACAGTTTTACTCAGCATTAATAAGGCAACCAAAATCTGATACAGAATGACTAGCCCAGTAGTTTTAATTTCTAAGTAAGTGGACATACAGAGTAGAAAAGATTTGGGCACTCAAAATTGCTTACAGCTTTTGGCAGCACTATCTTGACTTTACGTGCCCTAGATTTGCGTTCTTAGAGATTGCATACTCAGCAATAACAAAAGAAAATATGCAATCTGGAAATCTTTGTCACAGGCGGGGGAGGGACTGTAAAGAAAGCCAATGAGTGAAGGAGAAACGCAGAGACCACGCGAGCCTTGGGTGAGACGGGTCCCGCTCCCCTCCCCTGCCACGAGCCAGCCCCTCCTCGCGTGTGCCGCAGCCACCGCCAGAGTCAGCCCGCAGCGATGGGTACCTGGGGCGGCATCTGCTGTAGCACAGCTTCTCCTTGCTTTTCACAGCAGACACCAAACACGCTCGCTCTGGGCCTTTTTTCAGAACTTATGCAGGTGTAATCGCCAATGGCTGTTCCCTTTTTAGGGTCAACCACAGTGTGTGGATGTCTGCATAATCAAAACTGTGACTTTTTTTTTCCCTTCAGTTGTGAGGTCAAGGCTTTTTGCCTTGTCTTTTCTACACTGGTAAATGTTTCTGTCCTCAGTCTGTAAAGGCAGAAAGTCTAGCCACAGGACACCAACAACTTACATGTTGCCAGTCTGGGGAAAGTAAGTACACATTTAAAAGAATCAGCAGCCTAGGTAGGATATAATGTGACTGAAGAGTTTCATAGTAACATTGTAGAGTACAAAAATGAAAATATAAAGTGCATTTTAAATGATTAATGTACAAAAGCTGACTTCTTCCAGTGTGCATTAATCAAGAAAAAATGCACACTTTCTATAGTGGTTAATGTTGCAGGTCCATTATTCAGCTTTGATAATGTGCATAAAAATGCTCAATATGACAATGAGTTGGGGTAGCTGAGAATTTAGGATGGTGGCAAGTTTGTTGTAGTATTTGGATTAGCATTCTTAACCTACATCTTGGCAGCTTCTTTTCTTCATTTCGCAAGTGTTAATAAAATCTAGCTTTATCCTCTTTGATTTTTGGTTATTTTTTCTTGGTTTTTTTTTTTTTTTTGTTATTTTTTTTAAACAAAACAATTAAAAAATACCTGCTCAAACAAATACTACCAGCATTCATTAGTCAGGATGGTTATATGTAAAAGAAATGATGCCAGATAGTAACAAATCCAAGAGAAGTTTATTATGAAAATGGCACCTGCGGGATGAAAAAAAATTAAGTTACATAAAGACAACCATGTATGACATGTATGAGAATCTACAAAAGTATAAAAAGAACCCTGTTGTAAATGAAGTATGTACATTTCTGATTTGCAGCATTATCAATGATCAATGAAAAAAATGTTTCAAATAAGCCAGGCACTCAAGAAGTTAGATTCGGTTAGCTTAACACAAAATAAATGTACCATAGCTGTCACTTTTTAACATTTTAATTTTTTTTATATTGTAGAGTTGGTAACACTGCTAAGATTTATACGAACAGAATCCCTTTCCCCATTATTCAGCTACTTGGCACCAGTCTCCTCATAAAAGATTTCATATATTTGTACAAGAAATAGTTAAAAACACAGACACAGTCTTCACAGGTAATGAAGTTTTTTTTTCATTTTGTAATTTTAAACACTATGGATTTAGACAGCAGCTGTGATTATCTGTTAGTTTAAATCACCAGAAATCATTTTGACACAACACAGAAACATTTATAAAAAAAAAAACCAAAACAACAACAGCTGTCTAGCTGTTCTTTGTAGCTGATAGGTGCACTCCTTTGATTGTTCCAAAGCTAGAGCAGAGCTTCCAAAATTAAACTTTGAATTTCCCAGTCAGCTTTCTCGCCTTTTTTAGACCTACTTAAATCCTTGCAATGGAACCTTTAAAAACAAGCTCATTAATTAATTTTGTGGCATCCAATTCCTTTTTTGCTATTACTCCGCTGTGGCTCGGACCTACTTCTCAAATTCAAAGCTACCGCAGAAATTGACTCAATGCAGTGAGTGATCAAAAATTCAAAGGACAGCTGAGTTAATATATTAGCATTGCACACATAAGCAAATATATATGACAATTCTAAGCTCAGTTTCCTTTTTAAACAATGCTGGTCAACCTCTGAAAGCATTTCCTATCTCACTGTAATTGCTCTACGTATTACTCCGCCAGCCTACCCGGGAGAAAACCAAAGAAATGCACCCTCTGCTTACAGTTCGAGCACAAGGGACTCTGGGAATGTTAACAACTGAGGCTATATGGCGTCAATTTGCTTAATATCTCTGAGCATTACTCTGTAGTGCATTGTGGGGTACACTGGAAGAGTAAGTCATACCCAGAATTCCTCTGTGGGAAAAATGGCTCCATTAACCTTGAGCTAGTTAAGAGTCTTTTATCTCTGAGAGTGAAGAAGAGAGAACGAGAGAGCGAGAGAAAGAGAGAGGGGAAAAGTGTGGAGGGGAGCGGAGAGAGGAAGGGGGAGAGAGAGGTTTGAGAATACACAACAGCAAAGCAACAGCAGAAATTAAAAGGTATACAGACAGTGGAAGCAGCATAAGGTGACATTACAGAGGAAGGCCACCACACAAAAACCACTAACCCCCAAGAATCACTGGTTCACTAGGACTGCAGGAATGGGACTTTACCACTCCGGACTAGAGATAAAGCACAGAGAAGACAAAGGACAAAACAACTACATTAGCTTAGTATATACTGCATATAGTAACACACATTGAAACTGCAATGGGACTGACAGCCAAGGACACTTACACATTGTACACATTACAGTTCTCACATCTGTTATTAGATGCCTTAACAAACAGCTGCCAAAGATGGAGTGGAAGAAGAATTTATATTTGACAGTCATTTGGAGTGTTTGACACTACACTGTGATTTCTGGCAACAAAGACAAAATAGGAGATTTCTTTTCTTTTACTTAATGTGCAGTTTTCAGTTGTAGTTATCTATTTCAAGCTTATTAACCCATTCTTTAGTTTTAAAACATATTGGTTTCAACACTAGAAATAAGGAAAAAACAACAAAAAATATCCAAATCAAAGAAAAAAAAAGAAATTTACAACCTTCCCTCTATAATATTAAATGAAAAACAAACAAAACATGTTAAATAGTTCTTCTGTTTTCTTTTTACTCTGAAGTGTTATTTGATGTTGTAAAATTAGCCTCAGTTACACTGAGAAAAAAATAAAGCAAAACAATATGCACCTAAGAAACTGCTCCTCGCGTCAATTAAATTGAGTTTTTTTGTTTTTAAGCACTTTTTGAAAAAGGCTTCCTGACCCATTTAAATTTGATGTGAGGCTATGCTTGTTAGTTTGGAGGTAAAAAATTTTAAGTCCTGCAGCAAATGTTAATGAGGGCTTTTGTCTTAACTAACCAAGGAGACTGCAGCACCCGACTATAAAACCGGTACGGAACACATTCTTTCCAAAAAACCCAGCCCACAAGCTGCATATTGTATGAAGACATTACAGATTAATAAATGATAGCACCATGGTTTTAGAAATTAAGTTAAAGTTTCAGTAATTAACATTTAGTCCAACTTTTTAACATTCTAGTCACAGGCCAGAAATTAACTTTTTAAGAACCCAAATTATTTTATGTGCAAGTAAGAAAATCTTAACCATAAAAAGAGAATTAAACTCTGCATAAAATTCTAAAATACTATCCCCTATTTTTAAAGGAATTAGGAACAAAACCCCCCTTTCATTTGACTTAGTCAAACAGGGCACATTGTTTATGCTTGTCTCTTTTAATCTTGATCATATCAAGATCATTTTGAAGTAAAACCAATGGTTGTCACTTTAAAATCTCTTTACCACAACACTGAGTATTCTATGGCAGAGGCATACACATATTAAAGGCATCTTAATAAAGATGCAAAGGAAAAAACACACATCTTAGAAGAAGACAAAATGGCAGGCAACTGGTACTTCGACTCTCTGAAGGCAAAAATAAAAAAATATCTTTACATTAAAGAATAAGTCAAGTTAAAGAGAAAGGGAATGAAATGGGGACCATCATATTGAGAGAATAAGCTGACCTGCTCAAATTCAAAGTGCTAGAATTAAAGGTCTAAATTAAAACATAGTCTATGCCTCAGAGTATAACACTGAACACAGTATGTGGTCATATTTCAATCCTCTTTCCGTTCCAGAGTCTGTGTAGTGTGAATGCCATTGCTGTACACAGGAAATGGAAGAGTGGAAAAAAGTCCTTCGGCAGTTGTGAACACATTCCCTGCAGGCATTTGGGTCAGACTGGCCCCGCTCACAGCACTTCCAAACGGTCCCGACATATTGAGTCGGTGAACGTGGTGGTAGAGCATTTCCATCGGTGTTTTAGGATCCAGCCCAAAGCTGGGGCTGTTAACATCAACAAAGTTAACAGCATGGGTGTTGGGGAGGAGGTTGCCCTGCATGGCTAAAGTAACTTCAGCTGGAGCATAGCGAATAGTGCCAGTGGTGTAGACCCTCTGAGCAGCAGTGCTGGTCGCAGCAAGGGTTCCCGTTACCCTGTGAACCAAAGGAAGCACCACATTGCCTGCTTGTAACCTCTGAAGGGCTTCCAGATCCCCAGTGTACAACAAAGAGTTGGAAGTTGTGGGACCTCCTGGATGTTTGTCCCGTGGAGATGCTGAAAGTGGGGGTGACAAAGGGTCAGAGGACACAGGAGCCAAGGCTGAGTTGGATGAGGTGCTGAACTGAGTTTTACGGCTGGCAGTATTTTCAGTCCCCGGCGGGGTGAGAACGGAGTCTGGAATGGAGACATGTAAACTACTGCTGGCTTGGGGGGAAGGGAAGTGCTCGGAGCTGGGGGGCTTGGTCATACTGTAGGGTGATTCATTCCTTGAGATTTCCCTGTTGGGTGGGTAATTCCAAATACTGCTATCATTATCAAAATTGATAGGTTCTGAGATTTCTGTTTTAATTTTGAGCACTGAGGCACTGTTTGGTGACGAGAGCAGCTGGGGCTGGTCCACCAAAGCTGAGTCAAGTCCATTTGGACTTGAGGTGCTTGACAGCCTTCTCCGGATCATGCTGCCTCCCTTTTGCTTTTTTCTCCTCTTCTTCCTCTTTTGATGTTTGCTGGAAGACTGGGCATTTACTTCCCCTGCACTGTCTGAGTCCTTGGCACTGTCTGAGGTCAGTGATTCACAGTTCTGCAACCGCAAGTCTGACTCACTCTCAACATAGCGCTCCACCTTGATCTGCATAGAGCCAAGAGTGCCAAAACTGTCCTCAGGGGCCTTTTGATTCTCGAAGTCAGAATTTTCAAAGCTGTCATCACTGTCCCTGCTGTCCTGGTTGCTGGAGCTGTTCCCATCATCATTACAGTTCATTTCGTTATCCGACTGATTTCCTGACTTTTTCCTGTCGGATTCAGGGTCTTCACTGTTTTCTGACTGGTTTCCTTTCTCATCTGACTTTGAGTTCTCATTGTCCTCTGGAGCAAAAGGAAAGTGAAACAAACCATTAGCAACAGGAACATAATATTATAACCCAAGTCCAGATTTCCACCTACCAATGACGTTTGACTGCAGTAAAATTTTTGGCAAAAGGCTTTCTCTTCTGTAGAGCCACAATTTTTTGCAACATTGTGTTGGGAGAGTTTTGATCACCATGAATCTCTCTGACTCAGGACTGTTAAGGCACTAAAAGCCTACGCTACATGGCCTGCACCTTGATTGAGGGGGGCCTTTTCATCTGGTCGCTGGACAAGAATCATTTTGACAACTGTGAGCACAACAGCTGTGTCATCCAAAGTGAAGTCAGTGAACAATCCCATCATGACCGTTATGTTCTGCTGGCTGTTCTTTCACATCCATGTTCTCCTACAGTGGGCAGGCATCCAGGTGTAGCACTATTTACTAGTGAAGACTCCAGTCCTCTCATCTCACCATTGCCACTTTCAAAATGGCAGTGTCTCTGACTTCAGTGGAATTACTGCTGATCTCCTCCCGTGTGAGAGGAGAAGCAGGCCATATGTGTATAAATCTGAATGAATAAACCTGTTAAAACAATTTTGTTACACTGCTAGACTGTTTTCTCATATTCCCCTGAAGGGCAACAAATAAAAAAAACCCAAACAACAAACCACCCAGAAAAAAATTCAGGCAGCGAATTAAATTCTTGATTGATCCAAATCATCTAAGGGCCATTGAAAATAGCCCAGCTACAGCACTGAGAAGCTGTCACTATTCTTGCCTGAATTAATTTAGTTGTGTTTTAGATTTTTACCTAATTCTAATACGGATGAAATAAACACTCCAGCCCACTGGACTCAGATAGCCAAAGCAGCTTTAAGACTGAATACGCTCCATTATCACACTACGTTTGAAAGGATCATGAAAGGCTTCAGGAGACCTCGTCTTTTACAGACCAGCCAGAAATCTTTTGTTGGGAAATAAAAGATGTTTTTTCACTCATCAGAGCCAAGTACTACCCTTTTCAGTATGCTCGTTTTAGGGGGAGAGGGGAAGGGCCAGTTTTCCTCTAAAAATTGGTTACTCCCGGAGCCATGTCAATACCAAACAGTTTCCCAGAAGTGCTGGAGAAGGTGGGCTTGACCGGGAAGCTGCCTGAGGATTCAGGGCAATGCGCTTCACAAGTCACTTTGTAGAACTTTTGCTTGAGTCACCAGCAGCAGAAAGACCCTCCCTTTTGAAAAATAAACCCACAGAAGCAAAGTAACAGCCACAACCCCCTAAATCTCATCCAGCTTTTTGTTCCACCTAGGGCTGAATTTCTCCTACATTTTTTTTTCTTTTTTTGAAGATGCTTTCTTTGAGGGCCATGGTTTCTAGCTGGTCAGGAGTGGGCTTAGGGTGAGGTAGTCCAAAGCTGCACCAAGTTTGCCTGGGATTTTATCGGAGCTTGAACTGAACTTGTTGATTTCATCCAAGGTGCTGTTCTGATTTCAGGTCCTTTGGCATTTCTATTAATTGTTTTGTAGGAAGCAACCCCCTGCCTCTGCTGTCTTCCAAGACTCCCAGACATCTCTTTCTGAGAGGTATACACCTGTGCACCTTTGCAGAATGCTCTCTTGTTCTGCATCAGCCTTAGGAGTCATGAATGCACATGCACTTCTCACCTGGAGACACTTACAATGCACATGTGAAATGCAAACTGTTCTCCACATGTGTGTTATTTGGCTATTTAGGAACAAGACAGCATAAAGGAAGCACTGGGAATGGATGAAGAGATTCCCAGTGATGGTGGGCAACAAGCCTGTATGTGTGCCTAGTGTTGACTTAAACCATCAAACCAAGCTGTCAAAGGAGAATCAATAGAGGCAGAAGATGAAAGAGAACAGCCATATCATATAACATTAAGGCCTGATCCTCCCCTTGCTTTTGGTTGATTTATGTCACTGTGATCCATTTTCTTGAGATTTTTTTTGGTTGTTATCATAGACACGAGAGAAAAATCAGATATATGTATCACATACTATAGAAGAGTAACATCCTTAGTTCTGGGCCACAGGAAACCATGCTCCTTTCAAAGCCAGATGATCTGTACCTGTGCCTAGGTAACCACTTTTAAAACTAATGGCGAATGTGTGAACCATCTGTGCATTGGACCTTCTACAGGACTAATTTACACACTGAGTTTGACAAGTACATTCAGCTTTTTAAAACACAGCTGAAGTCCCAGACTTAAAGAGCTTAGAAACAAGTGCTTGAACCCATACCTTCTAATAAAACACAATTCTTTTAACCCAAGAAAACCCTCAAATTTTGCAATCTTCACCGCCCCCTAGTGAGACTCCTCAAAAATGTATTTACACAGGAAAAAGGGTCGTAAAGATTGACAGTAGAGATTTATCTTCAGAACGTATACCTACTCCGGAAAGACGAGAACTAGAACTATATTCAACAGTTACAACCCCAGGTCGTCTACACAAGGCACAACACCTGTTCATGAAGCTTAGCTGGGAAATCAAATATTCAGTTCAGTGCAATATAGGCAAGGATGCATGCACAGAGTGAAGAAAAATACTGAGGAAATGGAGATACTGTGGAACTGCTGAGGTCATTAAAAGATTTTGCTAGTGTTTTTCAATTTAATTTTACAGGAAATTTTTGTTTGTTTGTTTGTTTTGTTGTAATGGAACAATTCTTGTGAAGCAAAAGCAACTGGAAAGCCAACCACGTGGCTGTTATATGAACCTTTTGTGGGTGTAAAGGCACACCATGTGTGTTACCTGAGTTGTCCTTTGAGTCCGATTCAGAGTCAGAGGTCTCTGAGGATTCTGAGGTTTTCTCTGGCAGATGAGGAAGTTGTGCAATATCCATTGGAGTGTCCTTGTATTCTGGGTTACTGAAGAGGAGACAGCAAATATAAACACAATTGGATGATTTGCAGTTTCATGGTTTTTTCCCTCTTTTCATATCAAAGTTCAGGAACAAAGAACATAAATAGGAAGAATAGCAGAGCAAACACAGAAACGTACATTTTTGGCTCCTCAGAGCTTCACAGCAGGGATTTTATGAAGGTTTATTTTAATACTGCTGTCAAATACTTATATTGACCAGGTACTAAAACTCGTTTGATTCTAGTGAAGTTTTAGAGCTATCAAAGCATTCTTACTGAACTGGGACACCAGGGCTTGTGTGAAATCTAACAGTAAAGCTACACTGTGTAATCATCCAACAACAAAATATCTCGATTTCGATCCCATTACTGTGCCTGGAAGGACAGAGAGGGTGTTTTAACTCTTCCAATCTGTTTCTTTCCCACTGGCAATGTCTATTAGAGTTATCTCTGTAACAATGTTCTCAATCAACCTTGCCAGAGCCCTTTCAATACCCGTTTCACTCAACATTCCTGTTTTCCACACTTTAATCAAGCAGACCATACATAAAGTTAGTAAGAAGGTGCTCAGTTAGGGGTACAGAAAATGACTACTGCTCAAAAGAATTTGGCGAAAAAATAGATAAAAAGGGTTATATATTTTTTAAACACTGCACACATGCATCCACATTACCAAGAAACCAAAAGCAACCACTCTAACTATATGACAGATGCACATGTGCATGTTAAGATGCATATGTTAGGGATAAAGAACTGTCAACACACCCATTATAATCATATCTTCATCTGCTCATGTGGTGCTCACCTGTGACTTGTTAGCAATGAACATGACTGCAATGTAAAAAAGCAACACTACCAGGGAAAGTGAAAAAAACCCCCAAACCCCAACCCTATGCTTTTTCTCTGCTTGTACCTTTTAAAATGTGTTCCTTTCCCAAATCCATGCAAAGGCAGGGGAACAGACACAGCTAGACATACGTGGCATAGGAATGTTGAAAACAAAGTCTTTAAACATTTTTGAATAGGTGAGCATTTCTATGCAGTTCAAATTCCAGCATGGTGATAGAGCAGAAAATCCGCAGTCCTGCGTAGAACAATATGAGGCAGCACTGGGGGTGACTGATACACTATCACAATGACAGTGTGCCCATATTCAGCCTATTACGCTGTACTGTGAAAATTCAGAGTTCACACAGTTCGCATTGAAATGCCATTCTTACGATTATCATTTTTATGGTTTTGTCCTGACAAAGTGACTTTATTCTGTTGCATCCCAGGGCAGTCCCCAAATTTGCCCCCTCCAAGCATGAGATGTTCGAGGGCTTTCACACTGTGAATAACAAGTTGCTAGAACAAGAACAGCATTAATCCTCCCTGTCACTATAATTAGTCTATCCTTTTAGAGACAGCTGAATCATACTTTCTAATGCATGGAAATGTATACAGACCAGTACTCCTGCTAAGAGTAGACCTAATTATGCCTTGATCTGTCATTAAAATATTATTTAGATATTTGGATCTTTCATGGATTCCAGTACTAGGAGAAATCTAAATTAAAAATACAAATTCAGCGGAGAAGTTAATTTTTCTCTAATAGACCAGTGAGGGGAATGCAGCAGAAAAATCAAGTTCTGGGAGAAGACTTGGGGAAGACCACACTGCTTTTCTTTTTTTGTTAGGTATATTCTGTTGGCAGAGAAAATAATTTTGTGGGACGTTTGTGGGCTAGGTTCACCTGTTGTCTGGAAAGCAGTAAAGGGGACAGTGGCAACTGTTCATAATTCCTATGGACCACTTTTCCAGCTAGAATAGGAGCACATTTCCAGGCATTTTGAAGCCCTGTTAGGACCGAGGCAGTGAAGCTGTACCTCCAGTTCAGAATTGGCAGGCTTAAACTGACCACTTGAAATGCTGCATTCTGCCTTACTCTTGCAAAAAGAGACAAAAAAGTAGCAGGATAAGGATATATTCAGAAATGCCCGTGCTCAATCACAGCAGGACAGAAACATGCAAACCCAATGAACACTCCACTGCTGGGGAAGGTTTCCCACAGTATCCCTCAATACTCTCCTGCCAGGGGTTGCTTCCTCCTCTTCCCCAAAAAGGGAATCAAAACTATTTCAACGTGTGAGTTCAGGCAGGCACAGTCTCTTCAGGGCTTGCTGGACTTGGCATAATAAGTCACAATCTAACCCCTAGACATCACTTTGAACTCTCACAGCATCAAAGGAATGTAACAAACCATGACAAGCAACTTAAAAGGAGAACAGGCCAGAAAACGACAATTGCATTTCACGACAATCTCAAGGTTTCAAATTTTATTTGTCTGTTTGTTCTGCTCTGGAGTGAAACAGAAAATCCCCCAATCTTACTGAACATTTTCACAAAGCAGAATGTGTTGAAAGGTATTTTCAGATGAGAACGGTCAGGTTTATATTTCACTCTCTCTCAGTGACTGTTGGTTTTCCCTTGAGCTCAGAAACTAAAATACCTGGGCTTTGGTAAAACAGAATTTCTCAGGGAGGAGCCTTTCATTCAAGATATTACTACTATTTTTGTTTAAAATAGTTTAAAATAGTTTTAATTGCCACTTTTATTTTTAAATCCTATTTTGCATTTTTCAGTGTGAATACTGATGGTTACAGGAGCAACATATTAGTTCTAGGCTTTTCCTCTGAGAAAATTCCTCTCTCTGGAGTGAACTGGCAAACACCTTTCAGAAAGACCTTTTTGTAGCACTCCAGAAATTTGCTTCCATGCATTTTCAATAACCAAATAAACCAGTGCCCAGGACTTCACACCAGATTTTATAACACAACTACTGAAAGTTGGTGCTGATCATTTTTACCTTTGAGCTCAGGTTGAGTAGATTTCAGGGCAGTGGAGGCATGCAGTAAAGTGGTGGAGGGTTTATCTGAAGACTAAGGCAGCGTAATAATTCAAGAATATTTCAGTGTACTGAGACATGACAGATGTCTCAATAAATATAACCAAATGGCACTGTTTTTGAGGTGGATCATCTGAAAAGTTCTTCTCCTTAACTTTCTCCAGTAGGTAACTGTTTTTTTCCTGAAACTCTCACCAACAGAGACAAGCAACAGAGACAGCAGTTCAAGTGAGAGAAGTGACTGGAAGACCTACCTAAGAAGGTAATTGACCCAGATGATATTCTTCTCACTCGCGTTCTTGGCATTGACAGCTATAGTTGCACTAGACTGTATCCAGATATAACCTCCATTCTTCTGCATCCAGCGGTAATACTTTGTTACACATTGACCCTTATTCAGCACTGGCAAAAAAATACAAACAAAACAGAAGCAAGATATAGTGCATGTTAGAACTGTGGTAAAATGATCTTCATTGTACAACATGCCACAAGTATAAGCAGAAGACCCTTGGCTTCTTTTAGGTTTAATGCAGCACGCCAGTGAGATGACAAACAGGATCTGAAGTTCAGTATAACTAGCTGCATGTTTTAGAAGTTTTCAAAGTATAATTTTAATCTGTTTTTGGAAACTCTAGTGGAAGAAGAAAAGTAAAAAGAACTACAAATCTCTTTGGTTCACAGAATACTTATTGCTGTGTGGACATTTTCAATGCACTCAATGTCAAACTGCAAAAAAAGAAAAGGAAAAAAAGAGGCAAATTTATATGTGATTTATTCATAGCTCCTAGGTAGACCTCTTTGAGATTCTGGATATTTGAAAGGTTTGGGAAGATACTCTACCCCTGCTGCTTTGATCATTTCTCCTTATTGCAGGCGATATCAACCACTGAACTTACACATCTGTTTCTTTGATCTTGTCAAACAGAATTTACAGTTCTCAGATGAACCAAATCTCCACTGGTCAGTGGGGGGAAAGTCTTAGGAGAATTTACTTTCTACCAGAGCAAAGTAAATCTACCAACAGACTGTGAAAGAGGCCTAAGGGAGGCACAGAATGGCTTGGTTAGAGCCAAAGAGTGATGGCTTTCTCCGCTGTTTGAAATACGCTAGGAAACAGAGAAACAAGTAAAAGCAATCAGTAATGTGAAACGGTGCTATTAAATGCTCACAGCAAGAAGGCTTAAAAATACAGATGTTTAAAGTAATACTTCAGCCAAAATATTGCAAAGTTGAAACGGATTTGGTTTGTATCTGATGCTTCAGTGACAGGAGAAGGGGATGAAATGCAAATCTTTCAGTGGAAGGGAGCAGCATGGTTTTAAAGAAAACCTAAACTATACAAAATCTGGGTACTATTGTTACTGGAGCACTTACTCTCCTCTGCATTCCGTACTAATCCATTAAGCTTTGTGCACTAGAGGGCAGTGTGCATTCATATACACCTTCTGCTTTTGTCATGTCCTTGTCTCCGTCTGCTGAAATGAAAAACCTCTAACTGCTGTAATAAATTTGGCTAAATTAGCTGCTAAATGGTTATCTCAAGTAATATGTATTTGCATTAATCATCTTGCTCTAAACCAGAACAAGCCAGAGTCCTAAAGACGTAGTAAATTCATATTGTCCATTTAATTACGGCTAATAAGTGCTTCATATACAATAGTTTCATGAAGTACATTTTCATTTTTTTTTTGTAGAGGGAAAAGAAAAAAGTCACTTTGGAAAAGAATAAGTATTTAAGGCAGTTAAAGTTCCTACCATAAATGTGACAAATGACACTTTGGAGCTTTCAAGTTAACCAAATGTCTATATCCCTAATTATACATATGAATGTATCTATAGCTAAATCCGTGTACAACAGGTATCTACAGAAAAAGATATTTACAAAGGCAGCGATACAAACACAGATGCTTTCTTATCTTGGAGGGATCCCCCAATACCCACTCCAATTTTTCAACTACTGAATAAAAAAATGCATGTAAAAAAGTGCAATGTAAAGTGAATGTAAAGTGCAAGTTAGGTTCAGCTGTAATATGAACAAATATTTGTGATCGGGGTCCTGTTGTTTTTCAGCAACCGCTAGTTAATTAGGTGTGTTTCTAGCAGAGATTCATAAGTTTCCCTACATTTTTACTTTTGTATTCCAAGCTCTAAATATTCTGCTATGATAATTCATTGGCTTCAAAACCTCATTACACAGCAGAATAAAGATAAAATATAAACAACTGACTAGCCAGCATTTCTGTCAAGCCAATGTTGTATGCCACTTTAGAAAACAATCTCACATAAATTAGCCCAACTTTACCAGTTATGAAGAATAAGGGAAGAAAAGTACTGCTGTAAGTTTTGATTATGGTAGACTTTTCCATTTCAGTAAAATTGGATATTCAAAATACTCTGCTTACAGCTGACAGTAAAACTGATAGGCCTGGAAGTCTGGAGTGATATCGTCTCCTTTCTGGAAACCTGAACACCCACAGGTGTGTGCAGAAACTAGCAAAATCTATCTGCACTTGTATCTACTAATTATACTGTTGTCTTCTTTACAACAGTTTTTATCTGAGGAGTTTACCATGCTATACAAATACCAAAGGATGAATCCTCACAATTGCCCACATGCACATTTGAAAGTCAAGGTACCAGGTGAGTCACTAGCCAGTGACTGAAGAGCACACGGCAATTCTGCATAGTGATAGCTATGAGGACCCAGATCCTCCAGCTCTTTCAGTCTATTTCATCCTAGGTAAGTCCTTCCTCCTTCAGTACCTTTTATATTGATTGTTGCACCACTGGAAAAGTCTATGTCATGAGCTATACAGAGCATTCATTTCAGAACTATGGAAAAAAGGGGGAAATTAAAACCTTATAAGTTATTTCTGAAGGAAAAGGTGATTGCTTTTTCAGGAAAGAGAATTCAGAGCATCAGAGTTGCATAGAAACCATCTACAGTCAGAGTTCAGGCTCCCAAATTACTATACATCCACAGAATATCTGAAATACTGTCTTGAAAATGAGCTTTCCATAAAGTTAATCTACCTGCAAATTCCCACTCTCTATTTGGCCACCTCAGACGTATTACCACATACACAGGATTTTCCTTCCTGCATCTGTCTAAAGCACATTGCATATGAGAGATTCGTGGACCACGCTCTGAAGGAAGTCCCATGATTCAATATAAAAATTCTCTCTGTAAAGAGATTCTCTGGCAGGCCAGCTGTGCTGTGCTGCTAAATCTGGTTCTCACATCCTTTGAGAGTGCACCAGGCACCCCCAAGCCAGTTCTGAAAGCTCATACTATAGCTTGGGAAGAAATTTCTCAATGTGATGAAAGAGAAAGAATGAAAAAAAAAATTGAAATGTTTCCTAATTCACGGTATTTTTTAACTGTTGACATTGCCAAGCTGAAACTTAGAAATTAGATGAGAATTTTGAGAAAACAAGCAACTAGAAGGACATGTTAGGAAGGGAAATCTATCTGGTTTACTGATAATCTAGTGTTACTGAGTAAAGCCCAGTTTCATTTTGAGGATCTTCGGTTTGCAGGTACAGGGAGTCCATTAATAAAGTTACTGATTTTGAGAAGAAATGAAAGTAAAGAATTAGTCTACCCTAAGTTCTGCTTGTGAAGTTGTGTTTTGTTACTAGCAGCAGACCACGCGTTTCAGCTTAGCATAAACTTCTGAAAAAGTAATGCCATGTGGGCTACATCCTGGACTTATTCAGACTGTACTTAAGACAAATCCCTTATTGAGAATCAGGTTTCAGCTCTGTACTTTTGTACACTGAGAAATGTAAAGAGTTTTAAATTTCTATTTGTATTATACATGGAGTACCCAGTCTGGCAGACAATGCAGTGTAGGGGAAGGTGAGACTTGTGACCACATCGGTGGGATGGCTTGTGTGACTGAAGTTACACGGGATTATGCAGGATTGGGTTATATAATTATATATATACACATATATATCTAAACCTTTTAATCAAAGGGAATAACTGAGGGTTAATGTTTTAAAACCAGTGACCTTTATGTTAGCTGCACAGATATATTCCCTAAAATGGTGGATGCTAAACTCGACTCAAATTTGCTGAAACTAGTTACTCAATTTGAATTCAGTGGTTAGCATGCAAGAAATGCACAGTATGTCATGCTAAGAACTAAAAAACCCCCCTCACTTATTTCTCAAAGTATGAATATATTGCTATGTACACAGTTCCCAACAGAGGGATTTCAGTTTTCCTTGGTAGCTTTGTGCACAGCAATATTCTTGTAGCAGTGGAGTGAAGGAGGGGGGAGAAGAAGAAACAGTCAGTGTTCTTTGCAGGAACCTATTTCTGTTAGAAAATCAAAATAAATCAGTACAAGTTTGTCTTCAGAAATATGGTTACAAAAAGAAAAAGAACATAGTTTCTTCCTGTAAGGCTGTTCTGAGAAATCAAAGCCAAAGCTTCTAAATAGTGAGTTGTGTTTTAAAAGAAGGAAGTAGCTTAATTCAGTTTGAAGAGGAGATGAAGAAATTGTGTATCAAAAGCAGTCTTTTAGCAAAGTCTCTTACAAAAGGACATTTTACTCATGTGCATATGCATTTAAAAGCTACACTATATTGCGTATTCAGGTAAGTATTGAGTAAATAGGAAATGATGAGATCATCTTACATATTCACACAGCTTCACAAAGAGGCTCTTTATAACTGGTGAAAATATTGAGGTTACATCTGCTGTGCTATTCACCCTTCTCCTTGAAATACCTTTATCAATGACTGGATGGTATTGATACTGAATTCCCCTTGTGATAAACTTATAAGAATATTTTTAATTTACTGCATGAGGATGAAAATGTCATACTTAATACCATAGTCGGATACTTAGCTGCAGCCACAAGTACTCTTTCTACATTCACAAAACTGGCAGACGAAACATGAAAAGGAATACTGACTCTTTAATCTCCACTTCTCCACCTAAGGCCCAAGGCAAGCTGACAGGGTAACTTCGTTCTGGAAACAGAGGGGTTTTTTTATTTTTTTTAATTCTGGATTACTTTTTCTTCTGCTTTTGAAAACTGTGGGCTATAGGGGAATGAACCTGGCATAGACTTAAAACAAGAACAAGTTTCTTTATCTGAAAAGTTACAGTCCTTGATGCTTACAGGAAGGTCATTTTCAAAACCCACAGGAAAAATAGCATCACAGCCAGAAAGAGTGCATTAAGTGCCTTATTTGCTTGTAACAGAGGCAGTTTTTCATTTATAACAGCTCTGAGGATCAAGTGAGCCTTTGATGTTGTAAGGACTTTTCTATAGATTTTGCAATTAGTGAGTTAGATAATTTAAATAGCAGGTATCCACAAACTGGATTTTAGCAATGAAAAAAACGTACTGAGCAATATTTAGCAATGTTAAATGATGTTTGTT